GTTCTATAAACACAAGATGCGCTTAACTTTCAAAAGTAATAAAAAAATTTAAAAAATTATTTTAATGTTCATTTTCCTCAATTTCTGGTTGCTGGGTTTCGATTGATGTGGTGATTTGTGGGAAAAATTAAATCGACTTTCATTTTTATTATTTAGGTAATTTTGGTGGAACCAATTCGAAGTTGGTAAATTAAATCTTCGAATCCTTGTTAAGTACATATCAGTGGTAAACTCTTTTAGGCTGTAAGTTGTAAAAAACAACAGTGAGTAAGCATTGCATATTTTTAGGACAATGGTTTCATTCGAAGTTAAATTTTTAAGAGCTCTCAATAAAAACGAAAAATTCATATAAAATTACACAGAAGAAATGGAATACAAATTTTCTTCTATCAAAATTTCTTAAATAAGTGAAGAAAAAAATGCTCGTATATTTATTTCTTCAAGAAAATTTACAGCAAAAGCAAAGTGCTATTAAATAAAAAATATTTCTTGTTATTTTGCTTGAGAGCCGGCTTTAGGATACAGTTTGTCTTTCAGGTTATTAGGTTTAGGGAGGTTTTGAACCCCAAAACCCACCCCTTGCGTGCGATAATGGCTCCCATACTACTGATTGTTCAGATATGAAATTTATCGTTATATCTCCTCCATTTAAGTAGCTAGTAACATGAAATTTTGCACTGTTGTCCCTCATTATCAAAAGAATACTTTCAGAGAAAATGGCGAAGATCGGGTTGCTATACCCTATAGCCTCCATACAACTGATTGTTCAGATATGAGATTTTTTTCCATGCTCCTCCATTTATGCAGCTAGGAACATGAAATTTCGCGCCGTTCTCACTCATTACTAACAGAATACTTACTTAAATTACAAAGATCGGGTGACTATAACATATATCTCCCATACAACTGATTGTTCAGATATGAGAATTTTCGTTATAACTCCTCCATTTATGCAGCTGGGAATATGAAATTTCGCACTATTTCCACCCATTATCAAAAGAATACAGTGAAACTGGTGAAGATTTGGTCGCTATAACCTATCGCCTCCATACAACTGATTGTTCAGATAGGAGATTTTTTTTTATAAATTATCCATTTATGCAGCTAGAAACATTAATTTCGCACTATTTTCACTCATTATCAATAGAAAGTTTACAGTAAAATGAACAAAGATCCGGTCGCTATAACCTATTTATTGCCTCCATACCACAGATTGTTCAGATACCAGTTTTTCGATATATCTCCTTTATGTTGGAAGCTAAACCCATTAAATTATGTTTCCGGTTTACATACCGATCACACAGCAGTGAAAATCACTTAGATTGGTGCTATATAAGGTATATCTTTCATACCTTTTGTTGTTTAGGTATAATTGTTTATATATGTATCTCCTCTATCTAAGTATATATGCCGTGAATATATACATTTTTTTCAAATGCAGTAATCTGTTAAAGTAATATTTTCAGATGTTCATGAAAGGTATGAAGCCTTCGGCATAGCCGAAGACAGCGCTGCTCTTACTTGTTTGATATGAAATCTCTCTCACTCCCTCGGTTAGCGACATCACCACACGACACGACATTAAGGTTTTATCTACATAATCTAAACGCCTTGTCAGCGGCGACATGATTTTTTTAAACGCGGCAGCGACACATGAATTTGTTGAATTTGTTTGAGTTTGACATAAAATAAGAGGAAGAATCTTATCTTTTACTATGTCTCCATTGAGAGATTTATCCATTAAGATTTAATAAATCCAGTTGCTAAATCACAACCGTCTCCGTTACCACAACGAGACATGTTGACGTTCACATTTTTAAATATTTGACGTTTGCTTATGTATGATTTTATAAATACAGTTGCGGACATTGATATACAGACAGATAAAAGGATGGTACCAAGCGGAATTTCATTATATGAATTCTGAATATTATTGGATTCTTATTCGTGGTAAATATGTATGTATAATATATAGTTTGGAAAGTGTAAATAATGGTACCATATTCCGAATCATATTCCCGAATTTAAGAAAAATTATCAAAACGGTAAAAAACATTTGCGGAAAGAAACATTTTTGTAGAATTCTCTTATTCATAGGGGGGAACCGAAAATCCAATCGTGGGCCTTTGGCATATCATGAATACGAACTGAGTTCTAGAGGATGTTCGGTGCAATGTTATCGAAGCAGAACCATTACCGAAATTTATAAATTTTTTGTCGCAGCGCGTAAATGACTTATAGAAAGCGGAGAAGACTCTGCATGATATTACTATAAAACATTTCTTCTAAATTTTTAGTTGTTAAAATAATATTTTCTTAATTTATTACAACCAAAGTTATGTAAATATGTATTACTTATTTTCCTCCCAAACTAACAAAAATATAAAAATCCCTAAAAATACGAAAATTCATGTTTTTTTATGATAGGCTAGATTTCAATGTCCTCAACTGTATATTGAAAACACAAATGTCATTTGACTTATGGCATGTGAATTTGTGGTTGCCACATCCAACAAATTGTACTTATTGATCAATATTATTGAAGATTTGACGAAGATTTAACTTAAATCTACTGCCTTTCGAGATTTAACGTCAAATCTCGTCAGAGGGCTAAATCTTCATTAAATCTCACAATGGAGACATAGTATTTCGCTAGAAAAATAGAAATATATCCAATCTGGACACAGCTACATTTTTGGCTAGTCGCAGTGTTGCCATGTCGTCCACAAAAAAATTATCTACATAAGAATACGTGTTACAATACTTTGACAGCTGTAGTCTGTAGCCCGTCGTTTCCAATGTGTTTCAAGCTTTAGCGGCTAAATGCTGCGCGAACAAATCAGACGGATTTGTTTGCTGTAAGT